AATAGGCCTGCTAAATGGACCATGTTGACATCTAAGCCATACAAAACCATTTTCCCCACTTGTAGAACTCCAAAGACTTCTGGATCCATCAGAGAACAATCTCCCTCTGCCACCACCCCTGCCACCTTACCTGACTTGAGCTCACCTTACCATCCCACCACATGCTTGGAGAGCCTTCCTCTGACACCCAGCTACAAGTATACAGGCTCCTTTTCCTTCCAAATCACACCAATCTAGTTTTCTACCTTCAGGATCTTTGACTTGTCTTTTGTATTTCTCCCAAGAATAAACTTTACTCTCACACTCTCCATGCCTTCAGGTCTCCACTTAAAAGAGATGGCCTGCCGTATCTGAAGTAGTTGCTCATTCTTGTTTTCTCTTGCACGCTGTTAGAGTGTGACATAGCATCTTCAGTTCATCACTTGGTTATTTGTTTCTTCACTATTTTTATCTCTATCCTGTTTAGCTATAAGGTCAGAGGAGCAATATTGCTTCAGAATCATACTTTCACAACCCAATATTGCTCCTGACACCACTGTTTTAATATGCATGGGTTTAATAAATGAATGAATGTGACACATCAAAAGAAAATGGAGCCTACCTTTCTATTGTCCTGAGGATCTGACGTTTTCTTTAAATATGCATTTTTTTTAAAATATGCTCTTGACATTCAGTTAACAAAACTTGCATATGTCACAGAAATTCAATTTTTATAATGAGATATAGATCACCTATAAATGCTGCTAAAGCAATTTTATCTGTATGGGGAAAATAGTCCAAGTTAACCAAAATGTGTATAATTTCTTATATCTGCATTTCTATCTTAAGCATTACTAAAGGTTTAGACAGAAAGCTCTCATCTTATTCCACTGGATAAATGGAATTTTGTTTATTGTGAGACTCACTTAGTGGCAAGCATATCCATTCTTGGTAAAGAAGATGATGCAAAAAAAAAAAAAGTGAAAACGCCTCAGAGGGGGATGCTGAGAAACTAGCTGCCTGACTAAGTGTTTGAGAATTGGGTTATGAGCTGTGACCTCATCAGCTGCTAGCTGTAGGGTTCCTGGGCAGTTTCTTGGAACTTTCGCCAATATTTTCTCCAAAAGAGAGATGATGTTTGTACTGCTTTGATTGTGTGTTTTTGACATAATCTTGATAACTGCTGTTTATTTAAAAAAAAAAGTTTTTAAATTCATAAAGGACTTCACTGATGCAAAGTCCTACTTTACTGGTAAGCAAAACCTTACAAAATTTGTCCTAATGATGTTTCTATCCCAAAGAGGTTATGGACGATGATACAAGGCAGCCATCCATATATGAAGTATTTATTGTTCAATAGCATGTGCCCCAAGAGACTGAGACGCTCAAAACCTGTAGGATCCCTAAGAGAGATGCAAATGGTCCCTTAGTGGCTTATGCCCCAATCATTCATTGTTAAGAAGTCAAAGTGGGCTGGAACATGAAGAATGCTTTTCTATCTCCTTTGTGAAAACAAACACACAAACAAACCAAAAAAAACCAAACACCTCACTGATGTGCCACTTCTGAGCAGGTGCAAAGTACTTCAAGATGATTGCACCTGATGTGTCCCAGGCTGAAAGCACTACATTCTTTCACAAATCCCAACCCAGCATCTCTCCCCATGCTTCCTTCCTTCTTTTCTCACCTTTCCCCTTTTCTTCTCCAATGGGAGAATGTGCAGACAAAGCAGAGAAGATCCTGGAGGGATGAAAGGAAGAGTACCATTCCAGTCCCTTTTATTTCCCTATTGCAAGCTGTGCTGCTGAGTTAAAAATATGCAATTTAGTTTCCAAATCTATTTCAACCCCTGCCTGGCCTACTGAGCAATCACATATCATCCAATTTCAATTCAAATCTTTGCTTTTAGCTTTATTTTAAATAGAACACAGCTACGTTGTATAAACAGATAAAAAGTAAATGTTCCACAAAGAGCAGCAGCAGGATTAAAGGAACCAGGAAGTCAACTTGAATTTATAGGCTACTGGTCAAAATCTGAATTGTTTTCCTTCTATTTTTAAAATGCCAAAATTTCCACAAAGTGTAAAATGTCATAAAAGGGAGGAAACGAAAAGTTTGGTCTAACTAAATATCTGAAAGTTCGTGCTAATAATAATATTTTGCTATTTTTCACGGTGTACATTGACAACTTTCTGTAAGCCAGTGGCACATTTTCCGCAGGTGATAATTACTATCCTTCTGTCTCATTTGGAATACTACACATTACAAAGAATGACCCACTTTCCAACAAAATGAATCATGAATACCACAAATATTTCTAACAGAGATAACAAATTCACTGCTATAAACTTTTAATGATTAGTCAACTTACGTCAAAATACAGTTACTTCCATTAGATCATTCTCTTTTCATAAAGCTATAAATGTGTAATCTCTAAGTGGGTAATGCAAATTACTTGGCAGTGACACATGAGATGACTAACGATGTCCTTGAGACATTTCACAATGTTGTAGTTAACCAAAACCCAGTAATGGCTTATATAAATGGTTTTCCCACATTTTATTATCTACATAATGTAATAGGGAGAAAGTAGATGGTTAAAAAAGGTTCATTTACAATGTACCCCCTTTCCCTCTTAAATGTTTAGCTTGTTTTATAAACTGATATTATTCTGACTTTCAACGTTTAATAATCAAACCATCATGATCTCAATTGTAACTTTTCACTTTTATTTACATACAGGAACCTCAGTTCTCTAACAAATATTTAAACTACTGGTGATTTGCCATCTCTGTTAGTTTTTTTCCCTTTTTTAAAAAAAAAGTCAAATTTTAAACCCTACAGGCAGATAAATCCCATCTTACTGATACAACGTAGTCTTAAATGGCACCAAACCAGCTGAAAAATTCTCCATGAAACTATTTTTGACCTAAAATGATAATTTCCTAGTCACTTAGGAAAGATCATGCCTTGACAAATGATTCATTTCTGCTCTCAAATTTTCTTTTCAAATCTGCATGATGGCAATTGCAGTGTGGGCAACCTCTCTCTGCAGAGGCAGCAGGGCAGAACCAGCAGAAACTTTGAACTTGCTCATCTATCCTGACTATACTCAGCCCTCTGGTACTCAGGCGGGTCCCTCAGAGCCACTCCACATCCTCTCAGAACCATGCAGGAAAAAGAAAACGGCTTGGGATGCACAAGACTGGATGCCCATCTATCATCAACTGCTCTGTCTCTTGGCTGAATCACTTTCCCTTTTTAGTTCTCAAGGCCCTCATCAATTAAGTGAAAAAAAAAAAGAAAGAAAAAAAAAAAAAACCAGACTGAATAAACTCTGAAGAATCAGCAGCAGCTCTTCTTCTAGCCATATTTTCTAATAATCCTCACTATTGGACCATATCCCTACCTCTTATGCAAAGCTGCTCTGCTCCTCACTTCTGCTTTCTCCATTCTCCATCCACTTGCAATAGGAAGCATAAGAACCCTTCTAATGTTATGATACGAATCACACCATATCTGCTATCAACATCTGCAGGCGCTTTTCTTTTAAGGATGTAATCTTATCTCAGCTGGCATCCTGCCCTGCCATCTACTAATTGAACTCAGACCTAATTTTCCAAGCTTTCATTTCTTTACCTGTAAAATGGGAATAACCACGGCTTTCCTCTTCAGGATGGTAGGAGTTAAAGAGAGAAACGCTTTTAAAGCCCTTGGTATATATGAAAGTGTAATTAACTAAGTACTATATTGGTGGTTGCTATTGTTGCTCTGCTGTGCTAGTACTAAAATATAAGCTCAGGGGCAGGCTTGGCATAGCAGTTAAGATACCACTGTAATGCCTGTATCCCATGGCAGAGTCTCTGCATTCCAGTGCATGCTACACATCATAGTGCACCTGATAAGACAGCACGGGAATGTTCATGTGTGTGGTTCCCTACCCGTGCCTTGTCAGATTAGCATTTAGTTCTTGGCTCCTAACTTGGGTCTGGCCCAACTTTGGTTATTGTGGGAATTTGGGGAGTCAGCCAGGAGGTGGGAGGTCTCTGTATCTTTGCCTCTTTCAAAATAAGTAGAATTAGTTATAAGTTTTGACAAAGCAGATTAATTCTAGTTCAATGCCTCTGCTGATGGGATCACTAGCCCAGTGTATGGGATAATACAGAGACTTGGCCACCAGAGGACCTGGCCAACATTACTACTAGCACCCTGGCAAGTCACTTGTCCTCAATCAACTGCACACTGAGGATGTTTGAAATTAAGAATTATATTTTAAGATTTCTGTGAGCCTACTGCCTGGCACAGAGCTTGCCACACAGCTCCTCATCTCATTTGCAAATGAAACAAGAACAGGAAAAAAGAGCAACAATACTGTAATGTATTTCTGCTAAGCTCTTTATAAATATTTGTTGAAAGAAAAAAGCCCAAACAGTTCTGCAATCAAAGTCTTGGGAGGGAAGCAAATGTCATTTTCCTCCAAGAAAGAAGGGAAAAAAAACAGTGTCCTGTTGTAGAACAGGAAAGGACTGGGTTGTTTAGCAGAGCAGGCAGCTCCGTGCCCCAGATTCAAGTTCTAGGTGGAACACTGGCCAGGCAGCTCTTGGCAGAGTGAGGCGCACGTGGGAGGATGGAGGAGTCGGGTTCAGCTGCCTCCAGCACACCTACTCTAGTCCAAGAGGCCAGGTTCAGGGAAACTCCCTTCTCAGGGCGCAGCTGAGCCCCTACTTCCCATTTTTGACTTCCCCTCCAACATCCCACGCCCAACAGTCAGGTCCCCGGGAGGTAATTAATGTGGGGGAGCGGCAAAGCTTCTGAGGGGGCCGGGAGATGGCAGTGTACCAGTGGGGGCGGTCTTCTTGTCATAGGTCTCCCAGAGATGGGGCTGGGGAAGAGGCAGGGGGAGAGGGAAATGGGGGAGGGGGAGGTATTTTGCATACCTACTGATCTTCCCACAGACAGACACACAGACAGACCGAGACGAGAGGGACAGATAGGACATAGGTGTGCGTTTGAAACCGTACCCCCAAATCCAGGACGAAGCCTGTTGTCATAACCATCCAGCAAACTGTCCAGGATGCGGGTAAAATTTTCCGGGCACAATTTCTCCTCCTTTTGGTTCTGTCCTGGGGATTCGTTTATACTGTAAGCACAAGAAAACGGGGGCGGAAAGGGTTATTTTAAGAATTGATCCGAGAACAGGTGGAAACAGGTTTGCCTTCTAGGGACTGAGTCGCTAAATGAAGCAATGCTGAGGCCAGGGGGGAGGGATGCGGAAGACAAAAAGCGGTTAGGAAAAGCGCACCCCTCGCGCACACAACCCAGCACCTACGCGCCTCTCGGCCCCTGCGCCCCTCATGTTTTCAGTGTCTAAGCTGTCACAGAAAAGCGTGGCTTTTGGCTCCCGATCTTATAGCGGAGACACAAATATTTGGTCAGCCCAGGGAAAAGTAGGTGGTATGAGAGGGTCAGGGACAGCTCACTTGTCCACCTGCCCATAACCCACAGCACCCCCCAAAGAACTCACCAAGTCGCCAGGCACAGGAAGCGCAGGAGGGCGAAGCTGACCGCGGCGGACAGCGCAATCGCGGGTACCTTCTTGGCAGAGACCATCTTTGCAACATGCCATACTTTAAGCCTGTTCACGTTTCCAGGCTCAAGATGCCCCGAGCAGAGTGCGTGGAGAGGGCAGAGCGGCTCCCGCGGCGTGCGCACTCTCGCCCGCGCTCCACCACCCTAGCCGCGGTGGGCGTGTGTGCGCGCGCGGGCCAGGGGAGGCGGAACCTGCCTCGGCGCACCCTCCCGCTCCGGCTCCGGCTCCTGCTCCGGCTCCCGCGCCGGTTTGCTGGGCTTGTGGAGCTGTGCATGCCGCTGCACACCACACACCCTTTCGCGCCCGCACGCCCTGCGCCTCCGGGCGGAGTAACTTGGGTGCGCAGGCGAACGAGGTGCTGCAAGTTTGTAGCGACCTGTAACTCCAGCGGCCAGGAGTCTTGGTGCTGCTGCAGCACGTGGGGTCTTCCTTTCACTCTCCTGTTTCCCCTCATTTTGCCGAGACTCGGATTATAACCAATGAAGCCGCTTTCTTTAGGCTGTGGGAGAACCCGTTTTGTACCCGTAGTAGAGGGAAGGATTCCTGTGTTAACCAGGCTTGGAGGTGGGGAGTGAGAGGCAGTAGCCTTTGCAGGGGCTGGGGCTGAATCAGGAAAAAAAAAAAAATTGTACTGGCTGAGAGGTGAGAGAACTCAATGGGGCAGATTTTTTGCTAAACTTTCAAGCAATGGACTGGAGCTCACAACGTAGTGAAGTTGTTTGCCAAGCTGTTTGTTGAAAAATACAGAATTTCTTCACTGCCCCCACCTCAGCTAATGCGCTTTGCTGTCCCATCCTGTTCTAACCAGGAGGCAAGATACGGCTGGCGGCCCAGAGCAGCCCTGATGCTCATCATTGCCTTTCACTTCCCGGGACACTGGACAGAGCTTTTCTTTCACAATGCAGCCCACTTCCTTCCAGAGGTGGACAATTGAGGACAAAGCAGGATAGAGGAGGTTCCACAGGAGTGGAAGTGGGGGGAGGGGGCGGGAGAAGGAAAGAGAACAAGAAAAAAGGGTATGTATGTGAGAAAGGCGACGCGTGGATAAAAATGGAAGGGGACACATCCATTTATTTTATTTGAAAGGCAGAGTAACGGAGGGAAAGAGAGAGATAAAGAGACATTTTCCACCTGCTGGTAAACTCCCCCAGAAAACTGAAATAGCCAGAAATGAGCCAGGCACAATCTACAGCCTTGAACTCCTGGTAGACCCGGATGGGTGGCAAGAACCCAAATTCTTGGGCCGCCATGTACTTCCTCCCAGATGCATACACAGGAGAGAGTTTTAGAAGAGAAGTAGCCTGGGCTACAACAGAGCTCCCAGAAGGTGATGCAGACTTACCGAGCATGGCTTACCCCTTTCACCATGTCTACCTCAGATGAACAAGTCCTGATTTACTTGTGACTCGAAACGGAACACTGTGTAGACAGGGTTCCCTAAAGGAATTGCAATAGACTTACTAAAACGCGCCAACTGTTGATCACATGTTAGAAACATGGATCAGGGTCCATTTAGGCATTTTCATGTGATGCATCAACAGCCTTAGTAAATTCCACACTTGGTTCCTGGGAATAGACAGTGATAGTTTGTTTAGTTTAGAACTTTCAGAATTTGTTCACAATTTTCTGAATGGTGTGATACAGCAGCCACACTGGAGAGGATTTCAGGGTTTTGTTTGCATGTTTCAAAGTCCTAATTAAAAGATCCATCCCCAGAGGAAGACAAATGTGTTCATACTGCATAAACCCAAGCTACCTAATCTCAGAGCATCCTGTACTCTGACGTGCTGCCTTCATCCAATGTACATCATAATTCAATTTACATCATTCTTCTTTACAGATTGCAATCTGCTTGAGAGCCCGTGAATGGTCATTTTTGCACATGTGTGCTTGTTTTATTTCTTGTTACAGTGCATAGCACACAGTTGATCAGCAAATATTTTTTTGAACAAAAAACTAAGTGAATGAATATCTGCTCCATCATATTATTATTGAAATCTTAGATCCTAGATTAATATTATTAATATTGAAATAAAATTCAAGCTTTCTCTTGGGGGGAAAATAATGGAAACCATAGTAAACCCTGCATATACACCATTAAAGCATTTGTCTCCACAGATTCTCCATGTACATTTTTTCTTTAATATTAAAATTGTTTATTTGAAAGACAGCTTTACAGGGGAGGGGGAGGGTGAGAGAAAGGGAAGAGAGAGATCTTCCATCTGCCAGCTCACTCCCGAAATGGCAGCCACAGGGCTGCTCCCCTTCTGAGCCAGCTCCCTGCTGATATGCCTAGGAAAGCAGCAAATGGCAGTGAAGGTGCTGGGGCTCCTGCAGCCCTTTGCAAGACCTAAAGACAACTCATGGATCATGGCTTAAAACCAGCCGATTGCAGGCATCTGGGTAGTGAGCCAGTGGATGGACGATCTCTGTCTCTCTCTCTCTCTGTGTCTCTCTCTCTCTCCAATTAAGCCTTTTAAAGAAATAAAAATTTAAGCTCGTTTCCCCCTGTTTCTGCCATCCTTCAGCACTGCCGATATAGAACTGTCTATAATGAATAAGGATACTTGGGGTACTTCTTTCTGATTTTGCATGTTGTTTATTTCATCAATGCTCAATATTCTGGAGTTTGATAACCTCCACCCCATGATAATATGTATTTTGCATTTGTATTATAGGTGAAAGTAAATATATGATTAGCACACCTTTGTCATTGTTATAACACCCTTTATGCAAAAAATAAAAAACATACATAAGTCTCAAAATTTACAATTTCTTAAGTGTATAAATCATTAAATAAACTCTTATTTTTGAAAAAACATCCAATTCATGATGATTCAGGACTATGAGTATATTCTGATTGCCTGAATGTGTAGAAATACAAAGCTATTAAAATTGTGTTCCTGGGTCCAGCATGATAGCCTAGTAGCCAAATTCTCGCCTTGCATCCACCAGGATCCCATATGGGCACCAGTTCAAGTCCTGGCTGCTCCACTTCCCATCCAGCTCCCTGCTTGTGGCCAGAGAAAGCAATAAAGGATAACCCAAAGCATTAGGACCTTGCACCCATTTGGGAGATCTGAAAGAAGCTCCTGGCTCCTGGCTTCAGATTGGCTCAGCTCTTGCTGTCATGGCCACTTGGGGAGTGAACCAGCACATAGAAGATCTTTCTGTTTCTGCTTTTCTCTGTAAAGCTGACTTTCCATAAAAAATAAATACATTTTTTAAAAATAAAAACAAAATTGTGTCCATAATTTCCTTTTTCATTTGCTTCTTTATGAAAAGATTTATTTCATTTAAAGGCAGAATTGCAGAGATGAGAAGGCAGAGATATCCTTCAGTTGCTGTTCATTCCCCAGATTTCATACTAGTCAGGGAAGAACCAGGCTGAAGCCAGGAACCATGACCCTCATCAGGGCCTTCCCCGGGGGTGGGAGTGGGCCAAGTCCTTGGCCCATCATGCTCTGATTTCCAAGCAGCATTACCAGGAAGCTGGATTGCAGGTAGAGTGTCTGGGACTCAAGCTGGTTACCAAATGCGATGTTGGCATTGCAGGTGGCAGCTAAACTCGCTACACAACGCTTGCCACCATGCCTTTCTTATTTAAAGTTAACATATGTTGGGACCAGTACAGTGGCAGCATCCAATACATTAAAATAACTATATTATTATTTAAAAAGTTAACATATGTCATCCATTACTGTATTTAATAAAATTTGAACTATGTCCAAGTACACTACCGCCAAATATCATTATTTTAAAGCAGTCATATTTCCTAGCAATAAGTTTACACCTAATATGGTGAGATACAGATAATACTGTACAGACAGCCCCACTGGGACAGTTCATGGATGAACACATTAAGGTCCATCATGCCTAGCAAACTGGCTGGAAATGAAAACCTTGGGTATGTTTAAGAATTTCCATTTTTTTTGTTTGGATATTCATAATTTTTAATCACAATTTTTTAGAAAACTACAGAATGCACTAACTTTTATATAAAAGATGAAGCATAAAATAGAAATACTGAGGCAAACAATTGAACAAATATTTGAAAAAAATGTCTGATTAAATCTATACATCACTTGTAAGCTCATTCACTGCTCAGTTCAATAGAACACTTAAAAATCATATGTTAGGCCAAACACCATGACTCACTTGGCTAATCACTCCCTCATGAGCACCAGGATTCCATGTTGTGGCTGTTCATGTCCTGGCTGCTCCATTTCCTATCCAGCTCCCTAATGATGGCCTGGGAAAACAGCAAAGGATGCCCAAAGCCTTGGGCCCTGCACCCACAGGGGAGACCTGGAAGCAGCTCCTGGCTCCTGGCTTCGGATCGGCACACCTCCAGCCATTGCACCGATTTGGGAAGTGAACCAGCAGATGGAAGATATTTCTGTCTTTCCTGATTTCTGTAAATCTGCATTTCCAATAAAAATGAATAAACTTTTCCCCCATTTATCATTAGCTTACCAATGATACAACTATATTGAATCCAATTTTGGGTGGTAAGAAAGTAAATATTAATTTGAAAGGATTAAATCTGCTGCGTTTTCTTTTCATTGTGTCACGCACATGTACATACACTTAAAATCTACTATCAAGGGCCCAGCGGCATGGCCTAGCAGCTAAAGTCCTCACCTTGTATGTGCCGGGATCCCATATGGGCGCCAGATCTAATCCTGGCAGCTCCACTTCCCATCCAGCTCCCTACTTGTGGCCTGAGAAAACAGTCGAGGATGGCCCAAAGCCTTGGGATCCTGCACCCGCGTGGGATACCTGGAAGAAGTTCCTGGATCCTGGCTTCGGATCGGCATAGCATTGGCCGTTGCGCTCACTTGGGGAGTGAATCATCGGATGGAAGATCTTCCTCTCTGTCTCTCCTCCTCTCTGTATATCTGACTTTCCAATAAATAAATAATAAATCTTAAAAAAAATCTACTATCAAAAAGTGAATATTACATACACATTACAGCATTAACCTGAGTGACCATGCTACTCACAGAGGGTCTGTACTTACCTATCCCATGCAGGCTTGTGGCTCATAGCTCACATATCTCATTTTTGCCCCTTCGTCATCTCTACTCACTAATAACCACTGCCAAAGTCTGTTTCTAGGCATTTGTCATTGCTTTTGGATCCCATGATTAAGGAAAGCCTCTTAGTGTCTGTCTTTCCAAACTCTGTAGTTTCATCTATGATGCTCCAAATGACTGCA